CTTGAATAGGAAAACATACATTTCTCATGATGAAGTAGACAGTAATATATATATATACATATAAAATATATGTTGCTCTGCTTTTGCTGTTTTACAACAGTATTTCCCAGACTATTTACAACTCCATCAAACATAATGATCCGTTAAACGTTATTTTTACAAAAAAGATGATTTAAAAAACTGTTGTGTCACAGAAACAATATTTCAGAATCTCATGTTCACTAGCAGCAAAATCTGCATTACACCAACAACACAAATACTTCATCCAAACGATCATGCTTATTATAATTTTTCTTTTCTTTATATACTCACAACTGCTAATTTAGATCCATCACGTTTCCATGCCAAACCTGAAATTGTATATAAATTTGGAATTTCTTTTGTGTTGGCTTCTTCCCATACTCTTTTGCTTGGACTGTAGTTAAATACCCGAAGTCTAAATAAAGTTGAAAAATATTTATGTTATTTAACATAAAGTATTTAATACATAACAAAAATCATACAAAAGCTTCATTAAAATGATAAAAATGTAAATAACTTATGTGAAAATTTTCAAAATATCTAACCTGCTTTAAGATCTTTTCTCAAAAAAGCATATTGCTAAAAATCCATATACTGTATTTACATATAAGCAACAAATCAAGGTACACAAGGAATAAATAGCTTACCAGTTACAAGTACAATGTTACAACCAGCTGTAAATTACCAAAGAAGCCTAAAGAAAATCTGATGTCAGATATAAAAACTCACCTATCATAGCTACCAATGACAACAGACTGACCACTTGGGCTACATGCTGCCACAGTAAACTCGTGCTCTGTGTTGTCTCGACTATAATCAAGTTGTTGTGCGACCCTTCCATCTTTATTATATATCACAATTTTCTTGTCAGAGCCACCAATAATTATGAACTGGCCAGCCCAAGCAATAGCATAAGGAGGGCAGGAATGAGTGATGATTTTACCCTACAATAAATGAAGACAATTATAAAGCACACGCCAATATTGTTCCATTTATATTTACAAATATAAGATAATAAAAATATAAACTTCCTTAAGTACTACTTAATGCTACTTGAAAACAAAAGAACATATATAGAAAGTTGGCAAAATAAGAAAAAGTGAAAAAGAAACAAAACTGAACAAGTTGTAATTAAATATATTTCCATCAAAAAGTTTGTAAAAGGTTCAACCCTATGTTCACAGGTCAATCCCCTGGATTAAGCCCATATTAGAGAATTAATGTTTACTATAATTCTGAATTAACTTAGTGCAAAGCTACACAATGGGCTGTCTTCACTCTGTCCACCACAGGGAATTGTACCCTACATTTTAGCATTATAAGTCTGTAAGCTGACCACTCACCTACCAAGGGACTTTATTTATCATATTTTCATGAAAATCTACTTGGGATGGCATTTTTTTACTGAAATAAACTAGCATAAAGGTGTCATAATCAATTAGTTCACAAAATGGCTTTTCTATTGGTTATAGACACATACTATTGACATGTAAGTATGAGTAAATAAGTAATTTCAGAAGCATCAAAAGTTGGAAGGAGCTTTTGCGGTGGGTGTAACAAATCTACTGATATCTCAGAAAATAAAGATGGGAGGTTCTTATTTTAAATTCAATATCTATGGTTGGTGTATCTAATTGGTGGACATACTGAAGCCCATATAAGGGAAGAAAGAGAAGCAGTATGTGACACATAAAAGTGAAGACAGAGAACTTATCTAAATATTTAATTTTTTAAATTAGGAACTGAAGACCTACATAATATTATAATTTGAATTATAAGCTATGTTTTGATGCCAAGTTTATTGACATACACTGAAAATAAAGTTGTTTGATTAATTTTTGAATGTAATTATGTAAAATTCGTGACATGGAACGCTTTGACTCCATACATGCATATAGGGTTATCAAAGTATCAAGAAAGATATATTATGTTGGAATACTACAAAAAAAAAGGCCAAAATATTAGTTATTTACAAATTTTATTCCAAGCTTATTTTAACCATAAACAGTCCTTCTATTGTACTTTCACTTACATTGATGATTTCTCATTTGTCAAGAGAAACAAAATGTGTAAACTACCTCACTATATTAATATTATCTCGCTTCACTAAAACTAGCCAGTTCTAAAACATTAAATTAAGAACTCTATAACTACTCTCTTAATGCTGCTTAGAACTGGATAATGTGCAAAGTATTTTTCAAACACTTTTATTCATTACTTATCATTATGTTTGTTTGCTTGTTGAATTTCAAACAAAGATATTCAAATTTCACGTTATGATTTCTAGGTTTTACATTATTATTCCTAAGTTTGACATTATGATTTCTAAGTTTCACGTTATGATTCCTATGTTTAACATTATGATTTCTAAGTTTCACGTTATGATTCCTATGTTTAACATTATGATTCCTATGTTTGATGTTATGATTCCTATGTTTAACATTATGATTCCTAAGTTTGACATTATGATTTCTAAGTTTTACATTATTATTCCTAAGTTTGACATTATGATTTCTAAGTTTCACGTTATGATTCCTATGTTTAACATTATGATTCCTAAGTTTGACATTATGATTCCTAAGTTTGACATTATGATTCCTATGTTTGACGTTATGATTCCTATGTTTAACATTATGATTCCTAAGTTTGACATTATGATTCCTATGTTTGACGTTATGATTCCTATGTTTAACATTAT